AAAAAATGAAAAATAAAAAAATTAATTTTTATATATCAGTTAATTTTGTTGTATATAGTGGTATAATTATTTTGTAAATAATATGAAAGGTATAAAAAAAATAAAATAAAAATTTTGTTCTATTTGAAATCTCCATCTTTCTACTAACAATCTCTTTTACTAAATTTATTATAGAAACCTAAAAAAATAAATTTTTGAAAAATTGAAGTGTTATTTCTAAAATTTGTACGCATTTTATTAATTTTTACATTGATAACCAAATCATTTATTTTATTTATGAATTTTTACATTATAAATCATGTAATGTACTATTTTTCTTACAGTTGTCAATAATACATTTTAAATTAGATAATATTATAAAATATTTTTAATTTGTTATTATTTATCTAATAAAATAATTATAAAATGTAAACTAATAATTATAATTTCAGTATATAATATTATAATTAGTGAGGTTGTAATAATTTTGGATTATAGTTAGTTAGGCTGTAATAGTTGGGGTTTTTTTAGCGGATTAGGGTTTTTCGCCAAAACGAGATTTTAATGGCCATTCTTTTATTGATTAGTCTACTCTTTAGAATAGTCCATTTATAATTATATATTTTATCCATGATAATTCTATGAATTTTTTTTTATGTGATGCAAATTTAATAGTTAAAATAAGTTTATACAGGAAAAGAGCATCTCAATATTCACAAATTGATAAAAAAAATGAAAATTATTAATGTAGTACCTTCATTTTTTATTGGATTCATAAAAAACAATATTTATAATGAATTTTAATAATTTTTTCGGATTTTTTTGACGTTTTAATCCGACCAATTCAGCCGATTCCCGATCCAAATCGCTGATTCGTCGATCCGAATCAGTTTTTGAGGTGCTCGATTTGGGTCACCGATCCGTTTTTTAAACCATTGCCCATGACTATAAACTCTTTGGTCAAGAGAATACACTCTGATAATCTGATTTTAGTCCAGTTGCATGTACGAGTACAAGAGATCTTATCATGATCGTCTAACTATAATGCCATCGTGATGCTTATTAAAATTCTCTTGAAACTGTAATTATAAAAGAGAAAAACTGAATAGTTGTTGACTTTGTTGGTGTGTGTGTATGTGTTCTTTGGCAGGAGACAAGTTATGCCGATCGTGACTTTGAGGCTGAGAACTTCGGCGGATGGAAGGAATCTGGTTAAAGGGCCACGGTTTGACTGTTAGAAATCGAAAATAACTGTTCAGAAACTTGTCGCATGCTTTTCCATGAATTTCTCATGTCTTCCCCTTGTCTATGAAAAATGAAACATGAGACATCAACAACACTTAATTGCAGCATTTTGATACCCTTCCAATGCAGTCTGGTTCCTTAATTTTGGATAGAGTTGGAGATTTAATTATGGGATTGTAAACAATGCAATCATTTGTCTTTGGTACAAGGAGTTCACTATTACTTACAATCATCCAATCTGAAGTCTGATAGCTTAAGTGTGCTACAAAGTTCGAGAAAATTTATTTTGAACTTTGAGTTTGGTCAATGGAATAAATGCAGCCACCCAATTTCACATTCAATGGTCAAAATTAATTGTGACCATTTTGCATTAAAAGTAAATAGTCTCATTAATAATAGCACCAAGAATAATAATCTTGGTGAATAGCACAAATATAATGAAAATGGATGAAAATTCAGAAACTTGTAGGGTGAAATTAGGCAATGAGAGAATGGATATTGAAGTAATCAGTAATGGGTTAGACAGGGCTTGAGGTTTAACTGATTTTGAACTTTTGATGGAAACTTGGTCTTATTTCTCCATGAGTTTGTTCTAATTTTGTCTCTGTTGAAGGTTGTAATAGGATTCCAGTTTGACATGACTCATAAGTGATGCGCTTTTGTTCATTTGATATCTTGCTACAAAACAATGACTCTCTCTCTGAGAGAGAGAGAGCCGAGAGAGAAAGAGAGATATAAAGTGGAATTTAGGAGAGATACGTAGAGAGAGATCTAAAGGATAGGCTCTGTGCATAGCACATCTCTAACCACGCTACTTCATATCTAAAAGTCAAAAATAACTCTAACCTCCTCATACCAAAAATAAATAATTTTATTATACATATTTGAGTGATTTACATACGGATCTTAAAATTTTTTCTAAAATACAAAATGCTCATACGTGGAAATTACAAAGAAAATAGATCAACCCACTTTTTTTATTTTTTTTCAAACTAGCTCCTCAGCTAGGACATCTTCGGATCGTTCTTTTTTTTTTCTTTTTTTTAAGTACGGCACTACTCTAAAACTTGGGGCTGCCCTATAAACAAAAAAAACTAAAAAAAAAAAATTGAAAAAAAAAAAAATAGCAGGCTGACCATCTGAAAAAAAAAGGGTAATATATATAAATTACTCTATATATATTTCCATCTATTATTCTTGTCTAGAAAACTTATTGTTGTCCCTCTCATGTAGCACTTTGTCTCTAAATTCTTGCCAGAAAGTCTCTCTCTCTATTATCTGCCTGAAAGGCTGTGGTCCCTCAATTCTGTCTGAAAGGCCGTTGTCTCTAAATTATTGCCTGAGAGTGATCACTCTCACCCTTTTTCCTTTACGAAAAGCATGTGGACACTTGGTGGTTGGTGAAAATCTCTCTTTTTCTATCTAAAATCATGGTTTCCACCTCCTCACTCTCTCTTTATGCAGCACATGCCCCAGCAAGTGATGCATGTTTTTCAAACCTTACAAACCAAGTCAAAATAAAGGGCTTCAAACTTCCAATAAAGGAACGGTTTTGTGTCAAATGAAGGCTTCTATATCTTTGTTTTTAGGCTTACTGTCAACCATTTATTTCGGCAAAAAGAAGTTTTAATCTTTTGTATCCGAGGCAAGATAAATCATTTTCTCTAGAAAATATTTGTCCCAGAAATGAGATAGTTTGTCCTCAAGAAATATGATAGTAGAGGATTGTGAAAACTATATCCCTGATACAAATGCATAGACAAGATCTATATTACCAGGGACAGGGAAATGGAAAATTTTTATATAAGTGTGAGGCCCTAAACAATCAAAGATGCAGCTATGGAAAAAGTTTATATAAGTGTGAGGCCCTAAACAATCAAAGATACAGCTCAAAAATTCATTATAAGGGTTATTTCCATGTTGAAAACTTGAAATTCATTATCAGGGTTGTTTTCATGTTGAAAAATTTTGAATCGTTCATCTCGACCTCAAGATGTATGAATATGAAAAAAAAGAGATTTTAATCTTGAAAACAATGCATCATGCAATATATCATCTAGAATGTCAATTTTCAAGATTTTCAAGTGTTCATGGATATGCTCAATCTACACTATTTTTTAATCTTTAAAATTTTATAATCCAAGATGAAAATAAACCACAAAGATATAGGATACCTAAACATTATATTTTGGTACTATTTGAAGGTACGCCTTACTTTGATTGTTTACGGCCTCGGAGAATTACTTAGGGAGGGAGCTTGGAGAGGCACGGAGAATTACATAGAGATAAAAAGTGAAAGAGAGAGAGGGAAATAGCTCCATAAATAGCCCCCCGTTGATCTCTTTCTCTTTCTTGTTTCATTTGTTTTGAAAGATGCCTAGGGGGACGTTGGAAGTGTTGCTGGTCAGTGCCAAAGGCCTCGAGAACACGGATTTCTTGTGTGAGTCTCCACCCAAAAAAAATTGGCAAAATTTAAAGAAAAATTGAATCTTTGCCATGCTGTTTTCTCCGTATCATGTTTATGGTTTCTCTCTCTAGAAATCTCTCTCTCTAGACCCCTCTCTCTCTCTAGAATTAGTACAATTTTACAGTATCTTGCATTAGTCTCATTAAGTTATTCAAATTTAGTGTTTTTAGATTGAATTTAGGCTTTTTTTTTTTCTATATCTACCTCTGTTCTCGTAAAAAAAAATCCATATTATTTTATATTTCAAACTCGTTCTGGATATTGGATCCATTTTATTTGTACAATGCTGAATTTTCGAGATTTATGTATCCCTCTTTTTTTAGTTATAAAAAATGCCCCTTTTCTTTAAGGATTTGCTGGTCATTTTGATGCATCTGTTTGAATGGGCCCTAATACATGGAAATCCTTTAATTTTTATTATTTTGCTAATTTATTGCTGCTTATTATCATTACCATTATTATTATTATTATTATCTGGGGTCTTTTATTTTCAGTATTTGACATAGGATTATGTGTTATGACCCATTTAATTGTTTTTAATGGATTTTCTTTCATGTATCTTTATTTTTTAGTTGGTAGTTAGAGAAAAAAAATTTATAGCATACAAAAAGTTCATCTATTAACTTCATGCGCCATTTGTTTATTTTTCACATTGTTTTTTTGCTTACTTACTGCTAGATCTGTTCCAGTTATTATTAGCATGTGATTGTTTTTTCATTTAGAGATTGTATTTGTTTTTTTTTTTTTGCATTTTTCTGGGGAAGATTATTTATTTTTTGATTTCTAATTGATTGTCAGGCTTTGTTTTGGTAAGCTCAGATATCAAGCTTGAACATTAGTGATGCATTGTCGAGTCCAAAAGACTCATGGGAATCCACAGACCCAGTCAGTTCCCATGGTTTTTTTTTGGACTCGGCAGTGTGCCATGTCGAAGTAACTCGGGCAAGTTTGAGTTGGACTCAATGAGTTATCGAACACTGGTTCTTTCTTTCTTCTTGGAAGCGAATACTGATTTTCCATGGTCTCTTCCTCAAATCAGTAGTGTTTTATTCCGAATTTCATGAAATTGAATCATTATACATGGTGATTTATTTGGATGGCCTGTCTAAATGCTTTACCCAACAAATATTTTCATCTTTACCTTTGTGTTAGTTTTGGTTTTTGGGCATGGCTAGATTGGTTAGATAATAAAATGATGCTTCCTAATTGATGTAAAAAATAGATGGTGAAGCCATTGATTAAGTTCTGATATCATCTGGAGTACTAAATGGAAAATGGTTAGTGTTAGCCTATTGATTAAAGAATTGCTGGAGAATCGGGACTTGCTTGAGTCCGGAGTAGACCTGAATTGCGATTCAGGAAGAAAATCCTTGGAAGCACCCCCCAGTCTTGCATTTTCTTTTTACTTTTTGTTAAAATGATTCCCATATGATTTGGGGATGGCCTAAATCTGACCAGGAGACTCGGGACTGGGTCCCAAGTGTGTCCTGAACCGGCTCCCGACTCTTAATCACTGGGAAGTATTGTCAGATTCCCATGTTCTTCCATCAATGATTGAGCACTATTTTTCTAGAGATACCGGGGCTGCCGATACCTTGCAAACAATTATTGGAATTTCTATAAGCAAAAGCAGCAGAATCATTGTCTTTTAGTCATGGCAACTGATGTATCATGGCAACAATTTACTATCAGCCAGGTCATTGACATGCTTTTGATACGGATACAATATGATACAATTAGATCACATCGAATTTGTCCTTCATTAGAACTAAAATTACCTTGGAATTATTTTAGGGTGATAAAAATTGTTCTGCTAATCTTCAAATGTCATTTTCTTTTTACCCTCACTTTTTTTGAACTGAAAAAACTTTTGTCAGTTATTTGCAAAGATATGTTGTTATCTTGTTATTGCACATGTTGGATTCACCATCTGCAAATGGAACTCACCTTATTGGGTGGTTCATATGTTGGTTTTCTTGCATGTAATGTTCAGTTCATTTACTCATTTGTTTTTGTAATTCTTGGTTATTTATTGAGAAATCAATCTGCCAAAGTTATACATCAGAACTTCTTCTGGGAAAGTCAATACTAAATTTTGTGAGTTAGACTTCTTTATTTTTCTTCCTAGAAAGAAAGAGTTTTCTCATATGTAGATGGCACACAATCTTTTGATCAACTGAAAACTTATTGGTGACTGAAAGTCCTCTCAATTTTTTTGGTTGAAAATGCTCGTCAAATTTCAAATCAGCTGTAGTATTAAATAAATTTGCATGTCATTACTGTTTAGTGGAAAACAGTGTGCCGGGACTTGCCTCGGCCAAGGGACTCATCCCTTGGTTGAGGGAGTTACTCGGCCCAATCCTGCACAGGGCGCCCTAAGAAAAAAGGAAAAAATGTGAAAACATAGAAAAAATATAATGAAAGTGAAATGAAACCTACAAAAAACAGATTTGAAAAAAAAAAACCTATTTACAGTTTAGGACATTCTAAAACATCCAAAAAAAGAAAAACATAAAAATAGTGACTATGGGAAAAGCACTCACCAAACTTTTCCAAATACATGTAAATCCTATAAAAATAAATTTGTAAAATATTTCCACGTCTTTTACTTTTTTTTTTAGGGAAAATTACAAATAACCCCTAACACTTCTTATGCAACTTACCCCCAACCTAACTTTTTCTCTCATTTTTTTCCCAAAATAGACTTTCTTAGCAAATACCCCCCAAGTACAAAAAGACACATTTTGTGACGAAAATACCCCTTTTCATACTAAAAAAATTAACATTGGCCAGACATTCACGTGGGCATACGTACAGTACCAAAAGCCACATGGGCTGCCGGACTGCCATGAACCCATTGCCGGACCCCATTAAATTTAAAAACATGCCGGATTGCGTTCATTCTCTGTCGGACCGCATTGTGTCCAGGAAACATGTGCCGCACACTGCTTGTTCAATTTGCGAGACCGCACTTTTGTCCAGAAAAAAAAGTGTTGGAGTGCGACTGTTTTGTCGGACCGCACTTTTGTCTAGAAATAGCAGTATCGGACTGCTTATTCAATTTGCCGGACCGCAGTTTTGACCAGAACGAAAGTGCTAGACCGCATGTCGATTTTGCCGGATCGCAGTTTTGACTGGAACGAAAAGTGTCAGACCGCTTGTTTTGATTGCCTGACCGTAATTTTGAGCAGAACGAAAAGTGTCAGACCGCTTGTTTTGATTACCGGACTGCACTTTTGACTAGAACGAAAAGTGTCGGATCGCAGTTTTGACCGCATGAGGGAAAGACGAGGGAAAGAGGAGTGGGTAAAAGTTTTAGGGTGGTTTAGTCTTTTTTTGTTTTTTTTTTGGGTTGGGGGGTTATTTGCTATAAAGTACGTTTTGGGGTAAAAAATGAGAGAAAAAGTTAGGTTGGGGGTAAGTTGCATAGGAAGTGTATACTTGGGGTTTTTTTGTAATTTTCCCTTTTTTTTATATGCCCCAAGTTGTACACACAACTCGGGGGTACTCGGATGAGTCCCATCACACTTGTGAAAAAAGACAGTTTTCATGTGATTACCAATTTGCTGAAACCAATATATTTTCATATGTGATCATCATATGCAATCGCTTTTTGGGTTTCTTCTGTAATTTTAAGATTTTGGTAAGCTTTGGCTGAGTTTCAATTGGAGCAGTGCAAGTTCTTTTCAGTTTAAGTATCAAATATGTACTCTAGTTCTTTTTCTACCTAATCAAGTAGTTGTTCCCATATGTCAGTAGGGGCAATGTAGTTCTGATCTTTTCATGTTATTATTTCCTTCCATTCATTTGTTGTGTCGATAGCCGTTAATTTTGCTTTCATAAATTTTATCAGGTAACATGGATCCTTATGCAATCATCACATGCCGAACTCAGGAGCAAAAGAGCAGTGTTGCATCAGGTAATTCTTTTTCAAACAGCAGAGGCATTTTTCCCTCCTGAAAAATTTATTTATTTCTTTCATTATATGGTCATTCAATCAAATCCACTTTTTTTCATATTTATTTTTCTTTTTTTCTTTTTTTTTTTTGAATTTTTATGGGCATATTGATTTGGTTGAAATTTGTAAGAGTTTAGACTCAAACCTATAGCCAAGATACAAAATTCTAGAGAGAAGCAAAGATTTAAATTAAGCCCAAATGAGTCGAAAAAATCCAACTCGATCACTTTCCCGAGAGCGCATTACTGCAAGAAAATGGACCCGTGCTCTCTCTCCCTCTCTATCTGAAGTGGCATTTTGAAGATCCGAGTACTTTCTTTTATTTTCTTCTGTAATAAATAATAAAAGTTTGAACATGCTGATGATAGATCATGGGTTGATGATGCAGGCAAAGGGACAGAACCCGAATGGAATGAGAACTTTGTGTTCAGTATTTCCGATGGTGTTTCTGAACTGAATATCAAGATTATGGACAGTGATGGCGCCACTGCAGATGACTTTGTTGGAGAAGTAAGGTAACCTTCACTGCATATGACTTTGTTGGAGAAGCAAATGGACACTTTACCTTTTTTTATCTCCGCATCTCTCTGCCTCACTCACTAAATTTTTATTAGAAAGATAATTTGTAATGCTGAATACTCATATTGGTGTGAGAAAATCGATTGAGTTTTTGTAATGATGGTTGCGTTATGACCGAGTTTTTGTGACGATCCTGTAATTGTAGTTGATAATTCATCTCACTTAAGAAGTGCATAGGCAAGTAATAATGCAAGCCTTCTTATGCCACAGGCATTTTCATTGATTCGTTATCCTATTTCCAGCTTTGTAATTACTATTGAAAAGCAACTCTCAACCCTATTTCCAGCTTTGTAATTATCTTCTTTGATGGAATGTTGCAGGTTTTACTTGTTAAAACAGATCCATGGGTTACATAACAAAACTTTTTAATCTCTCTCTCTCTCTCTCTCACCGTTATCATCGTCAAAGCCTTTTTTCAACTAATTGGGGTAGACTACACGAATCCTGGTCCGCCGTCATACCCTCAGTGAGGCCGTAAGTCCCTATATTTTTTCTCACTAATTCCAACCATATCTTTTTGGGCTTACCCCTTGTCTCTTGTCCCTTTGAGCCTTCCACTTAAAGTAACTCGTACCTCCTAATAGATGTATTGGATTTGCGCACTTAAATTTTCCCCAATGTATTCATTTCAAATTCTATAATTTCTTGTCTTGCCACCCATCCATCTCAACGTCCTCATCTTCGCTACACTCATTTCATCTTAACATCCTCTCTCTCTCTCGCATATATTTCATCTCTCTAGAATTTGAAGTGTACCTCCATCATCTCCAGAATTCATCTCACTAGCACCTCTATTGAATTCAATTCCATTATAGATACTAATTTCTGAAGTTTCATTGTGTAGTTCTGTATTCATTTTTTGCTTTTATTTTATTTTATTTGCAGCATTCCTTTGGAGCCTCTGTTTATGGAAGGGAACCTCCCTCCAACAGCTTATAATGTTGTTTCCTCGGATCAAACCTATTGTGGGGAGATCAGGGTTGGCCTCACCTTCACTCCTGAGGTACCTATGATAAACTTAAATGGACTTTACTCCTCTTTTTGTGTGCGCGTACTTCACTGGACATAGCTCTCTCTCTCTCTTTGATCATGACATCCCTCTCTCTAAGATAAACTTCAATGGATCTGTCTCTCTCTCTCTTTGATCATGACATCCCTCTCTCTAAGATAAACTTCAATGGATCTCTCTCTCTCTTTTTGATCATGACATCCCTCTCTCTAAGATAAACTTCAATGGATCTCTCTCTCTCTCTCTATCTCTCTCTTTCTCTCTCAATGAGCTGGAACCAACAAGTGGACAAACATCTGTTTCTCTTTCTCTGATCAGCTTCAATGGACATCTCTCTCTCTCTCATCTTTTAGTGTACAGACACAACTCAGTGTGAAGTAGAGAGTGAAGTGTATCTCGAAGCACTAAAGTAGAGAGAGAGTAGAAGACAAGTTATGGCTATTGTTAGTTAAAATTTTCATTTTTTCTTTTATTTTTTATTTATTTTTCACTGGACTAGCTGAGGTTTGTATAGAGCCCATCCATTATAGTCTCAAATACTGTTATGTACAATAGGCCTGAGACTATAAAGTCTTTGGTCAAGACTATAAACTCTGGTTTTAGTCCGAATACGAGTACAAGAGATCTTATCGTGATTTCCTAGCTATATACCACCATGATGCTTGTTGAAATACTCTTGAAAACTGTATTTATAAAAAAGAAAAACATGATAAATACTGACCTTGTGTGTGTGTGTGTGTTTTTCCTTCAAAAGGAGACAAGTTATGCCGATCGTGACTTCGAGGCTGAGAATTTCGGCGGATGGAAGGAATCTGGTTAAAAGGTCACTCTTTGACTGTGAAAAATTGAAGTTTGAAACCTATCTCATGCTTCTACGTATTTCTGATGTGTGCCTCTTGTTTCTGAAAAATGAAAATATGAGACATGTATAACACTTAATTGGAGCATTTTGATCCCCTTCCAATCCAGACTGGTTCCTTAATTTTTGATAGAGTTGGAAATCTGTATTTATTTAGTTTTATGATGCCCACCCTATCGTATTCGGCTTGGCAAGGTTTCTTTCATTCGTCAATAGGCTTGGCTTCACTGTCGCTCATGACTGGTATTGTAGTTGCAGTAGCCTGCCTGCCTCCTCCTTTCTAGAAGTAGTAGCATCCGTACTGCCTACGGACTAGAAGCTTTGCTTACCCCCTACCTTTGAAAACAAATCGCTACTGGCCTGCTAACCAGGATCATCCAGCAGCAGGCTCACTTTTCAAGGTAGGGAGGTCTGAGACAGGGCCTGAACTTGTCGTTCGTGTGTTCGTGTTGTATTAGCGAAAAAAGTGCCATAATATCAATAAGACTAATTATGTTGTTGAGTAGGAGAAATATGAATATGGATGAAAATTCAGAAACTTTTAGGGTGAAATTAGGTGATGATGGCATAGAAATCGAAGTAGTCAGTGATGGGTTCGACCGGGCTTGTGGTTTGGCTGATTTTGAACTTTGGATGGAGACTTGCACTTTGTTTTTCCCCGAGTCTGGTCTAAAACTTTTCTCTGTTGAATATAGTATTCTGGATTCCATTTTGAGATTACTTGTAAGTGATCCGCTTTTGTTCATTTGACATCCTGCTGCAAATCAAGAACCGCATGTGCCTCTCTCTCACACAATTTATCTGAATGTAATGTAGGGAGGAGAGAGAAATTATCTAAATGGAATACAAGGAGAGAGAGATTCATCTAAGCGGAATTTAGGGGGGAGAGAGTTCATTTAAGTGGAATGTAGGGGGAGAGAGAGTAAATCTAAGTGGAACGTAGGGGTGAGAGAGAGAGAGTTCATCTAAGTGGAATGCAGAAGGGAGAGAGAGAGATTTAAGTGGAATGTAAGAAGGACACTGTCAGGTCCTGCTCTCTAAAGAGGGCCTAGGCCCAAGCCTGAAATCCCCCCTTAAGTTTTCTTCAACAATTTTTTTTTAAATATAGCAGACCCGAGACCATCATCTTAACCTTGCGCAAGAGTAGGGTCCCCATTAGCCCTCTTCGGGCCAGGCTTAAGTTACTTCTCAGGCCAATCCTAACCCGGACCGTTGTCACTCTCACCTCTAAAGCCTCTCTCTCTCGAGTATTTGCAAGGAACGAAGAGGCTAAGTTCAGCAGGCACATCTTGTTCATCTGATCTTAACCCAACTGAACTTTTCACCTCAAGAATGAGAGAGAGTCCAAATTTAATTGCTGGAGGCCTATAGCATCGTAGCTTTAAAACCAGTTGTTCATCATCATCATAAACTTTTTTCAATCAATTGGAGTTAATTACGATCAGCTTTTTTTTTCCAATTAATTAGGGTTAATTAGGATCAACTTTAAAACCAATTGTTCCTCATCATCATATACTTTTTCCAATTAATTAGGATTAGTTAGGACCAGCTACATAAATCATGGTCCGAACCTTAAAACCAGTTAAGGCATCAAATAGCAACCCCTATGTGACCTCCCATTAGTTTTGGGAATGGTATTTCAAAAAAAAGGCAGCACCCGGTGGATTGATCATGATTAAGTGAATTGATAGGAAGAAAAAATAATAATAAAGAATGAACATCCATGGGAATCAGGGAATTCTAGGTCACCCAAGAATCGAGTCACCCACTCATGGATCCAGGTAAAACACGACGGCTCAGGTCGACTTATAAACACACTTCGGATTTAAAGCTCAAACCAGACTTAAACTCGAGACCCACACCGATTTGGTCAAAATCTGAAGAGAACTTAGGGGTTTCTCTCTCTCTACCCCCTGAGTGTTTTTGAAACACTGCATGTATTATAGTTTATCCCTCAAGACTTATTGAAAATAAAGAAACACACACCCAAATCACTGATAGCCTATTTAGTCAACATTCACATTAATTAGGAAGACACCAACATTCCCTAAAAATATCCACAGCATGATAAAAACTACAGGGAGGACCCTTCTTTTACACAGTACAAAATGAGATAGTCCATGAGGAGCTCCAAGAAGAAACCTTAGAAAACCAGTTTTTGACGTTTTTAAAAGTGTCATATTTTTTCCAGCTATCTTTCCAGCCAAATTACATTTTTCTAGCAGCCTAAAGTGGCTAGAAAGACCTATTTACTAAAGGAAAAAGTCTCCATCCGCCGGATTTTCTTGTAAGACAACCGGAATCTCTCCAGTGAGAGTCTTCACTGCAAAATCCAAGCAAGGGTCATTCCAACTATCACCAAAAGGAGAAGCACAAATTGGGTTATTAATTTCTGAATTTTCCGGTGGTTTATCATCCGGAATTTTATTTTCCGGCGACTTCTCCGGCAAATTCTCAGTTGGGTTCTCCTTAGAAAGCTTACCTTGAAAATCTTTTATGGAACTTTCCTGTGGTTTATCAGCTGGAGTTGGATTTTCCAGCAAGATTTCTGGCCAGTTCTCGGTTGAATTCCCCATCGAGAGATCCCCTGGGAAATTTTCTTCAGACTTTTTAGGCAATTTTTCGACCAAATTAGTAGACAGAACATTCTCCAGCAAGGGTTCTGTTGGCTTTTCCATAAAGTTTTCTGGCACTATTGGGGCCAAATTGTTAAGAGATATGTTTTGAGAAGATTTCCCATTGAGATCATCATTTTGAAGCTTGTCAGTTTCTTGTTGTTCGAGGGAGTCCTCAGACAATGTAGACCTCAAAGAATGGCGTGAGGGCCTCTCTATATTTGGTTTCTTTCGCGAGTTTTTTGGCGATTTAGGTATCAAATTAGGCTTCACATATGAATTTTCCAAGCATTGTTCGGTGAAATCAATGGGTGGGCACTCCTCAGCTCCTGATTTTCCTGGGGAGTTCTCCTGCAATGTAGCTGCCAAATTATCTGGTTTCTCCAACAAATGTTCTGACCACTTTCCAGGTAAATCATTGGGTCGGAGCTCATTTGTTCTCGAACTTCCCGGCAAGTTTCCAGGCAATGTAGGTGTTAAATTACCAGGCATACTCTTCCCCATTGAATTTTCATCAGAGCATTTGCCAGCAAAATCATTGGGTGGGCGCTCCTCTTTTCCTGATTTCTCAGGAAAATTTTTAGGCAGGTTGTGCTTTAAATGATCAGGCAATATCTTTTCTAGCAAATTGTCCAACAATTCTCCAATGGATTCATTTGACAAAGGGCATTCTTGTCTCTCCTTTGCCTGATTCCTCTTTTTGGAATCACCTAATAAGAACTTTTCTGAAGAATTTCCAAGCTCATAGTCCGGGGGATTCATTGTCAGTGTACTTCCAGCTGATATTTCTGGCAAATATTTGGCTGATGTCTCTGTTGAGGCAATTTCAGGGAGATGGGGTGACCTGTTTTTTGGCAAATCTTGAACTGGTTTTGATGAATAATCAATTTCCATTCGAGTACTGGACCTCAAAACTCGTTTAAACTTTGAGTCATTGTTCTGGGCTTTGACCTTTCTCCCAGGCCTTTGCTTACTTTGGCTTTCTTTGACCTTTCTCACAGGCTTTTGCTTACTCTTGGTTGCCTTAAGTTTTCTCATAGGCTCTTGTTTTTTCTTGGTTTGACTTGAGGGACACCTATCTGTGATGGTCTTGGCATTGGCTTCATTGCTACTGGACTGATTTTCACCACAAGCTGCTAAACAATAAAAGAAAATGAAAAATCAAAACATGATATTCTTTACACATTTTATAGATTAGTCATTAAGGAGTGAGTTTTATGTAACTATAATGAATTTATTATTGAGAATGGGGAGTACTAGAACTAGTAGACAATGAACAATCACGATGATTGTTGAATTCTCACTGCGACATGAACTGTTGAACACAGGATGATTGGGACAACAAATGTTAGGTCACTCGATTTACAATCAACTACAACAAAAACTACCCTATCAACCGCTTTTATATGAGGGCATGATAAAAAGTTTGAAACTGTGCACACGACCACAACAATACTGCTGTTGCTACTGCTACTACTAGTGCCAGGTTTGGGTTACCTAAGCCAGTGCCCCACCCGACTAGGTCCAAGTTAGACCAGACCCAACCCAGACCAGGGTATCTACATCCAGATATATAGATATATATAAAGTAGATTACAGGATAAAATTAATATATGGTCATGTATATATATTATATGTACATATATTCGCTTAGAAAAGGCTGAGGTTGATGTATATATTTTGGTTTAGGACGGCCCCGACCAGAAGACCTACCCAATATGGTCAGAATGGACCCAGATCCAGGTCAACCCATTTACCCGCCTAACTACTACTACTACCTCCACCAAAAACAATTTTAAAGGATATAGCATTTGAAAAACAGTAGGATTAGCATAAGGCCCTCGGCCCCATGCAAAGACCCGAAAACCATTCCAAATCCCTGCAAATATGTTTCCACCAAGAACAAAAAAATGCATTTTGAGCTCCTAAACTATGGAAATCTAACTGATCCAGGGACAACTGAAATGGACGGTCCAGATCACATGTCGACATGGCATTCAAGATGTAGCATGTTCAAGCCTCCAAATCCATTTTTCTTTTTCGGATCTTGATCTTGAGGTTTTGGTTCCTCGATGATCCCAAATATGGCAACATGAGGGGGTGCTACAGTTTTTTTGGCTGACACCTCCCCACCAAGGTCTAAAACTACAAGGTGGCTTGATTGTCCAAACAATCAAATACAGCAGACCACACCATAAGCATTTCTTAATTAATCAGTGGCAGATGTTAAAGTTTGTGACCAACTCACACATACAATTCATAATCTTGTAATAATAGTGGCAACAATTTCAACAGCAAAATCAATTTAGTGTGGTCATTGTTTTTTGCTATATTAAAATAATTTTCAGTTACTTGACATGTTTTGATGATATTAGGCAGGTATTTAGCAAATTGACACCATAACTAGAAGTTGCTTACAAATATTCTACAGTAGGTTGTATTAACCATATCTACTAAGGAAAAGGGCCAAAACAAGGGACCAAACACTTTGCAAGCTCAGAAATTCCAACTCCACAAATTTCTCATGTCTTATAGAATTGAAAACCAAATTCCAGAAATTCAGGCTGGATTTCAATGGAAATATGGCAGTGGATCTTACATCTTGGTCAAGCCCTATTATAAATTTTAGCCAAGCTTTGACTTTCTCTGATACAATACATAGGCATTACAGCCATCCTCTGGTTTCAAGATGGACAATGGAGATGAAACTCAGTTCCTAGTCCATGTCCATTATCAGATCTATGGCTCATCTCCACCATCCAGGGTTGGAAGGGGACGGTGGATTGTATTCCACTGTATGGTAGACTTCCCCAAAATTATTTGTACGTAAAAGATCACTAGGTACATAAAAAGTAATACCAATAAACTAATACTCACAACTTGCTTTCAAAATGACATGCTCCTCGATGGAAGAACCAGAGATTCCCTTATTGAATGGTGCCTGCTTCTCATTGGATTCGTTCTTCTTATGCTTTTTCCAGGATGGGAGATTCGATCCCTCGATCAATGAAAGTTGGCGACGTGCAGCTGGGGCTCGCCGTGTTTCCACCTCTGAAATAACTTTGGATGGCTATAACATAAATCATAAATTAAGATTAGAAGATTTATAAATAAAATAGCCTTAAATCAAGGTTGAAATTTTTCATTAGAGAAATCATTCACAAAATATAGTTACAAATGTTGGAGTCCATCATGTTAAGAAAGTAAGGACAACTTTCAATTAAAAGAAGCATGTTATATTATTCTCAAAGTAAGAAATAAAGATAAAAGGTAGGTTTAAGGATGTCATTCAATTGCAAAACAGGGTACCCAAACCATGCAAACTCATTTCCCAAACAAACTTGGAGCAAGGGGAAAAATGCAAATCTATAATCATTTGGCCTATTGACGAATACATGTGCATATCAAAATAAGGAGTACAGATTCAAAAAGACAGAGAGAGAGAGAGAGAGTTGGGGACTTACTGTAGAATCTATTTCAGTCAAGCTGGTGATTCTAACATCATGTGTCTTGCTCTCAAGTTGTTTGGGATCATCAAGTTTTCCAGCTTCAATATAACGAACAATTGCAATCCTAGACCGGAAGCTTCGACCAGTTGCCGGATCAATATAGTACTACACGTTTCAAATACCATATGAATACTTCAAAATAGAGGAAAAACCCATAACTACAGACACACACGCACACACAAAGAAGAATCATATTTTAAATTTGGGGACTCTCTTTTATTCAAATTTAATATTATTTAGAAGAAAAATGAATATCAACCAAATTTTGAGAGCCCCAATTCAGACTTCTACAAAGTTTTGGTTCAGATGCACATTTAAATTTTCATGAAAAGTTTAGAAACTTTTCAAATAAAAATGAAGAATCAAATTCCAAATCAACAATGATTTCAAAAAATTGGCCTATGTAACAACCAATGTTCTAAAAGGTGGACTAGACAGGACACACTACACCTCCTAACCAAGCAATTAAAGAAACAAAAAGTTTTTTGAACCAAACCTTTTGAATGGGATGATTAAGTAACTGAATTATCCAGTCCCAGGTTAGTCTACTGAAAACAACACATAGAGCACGTTTGTTTCGCAAAACTTTCTGAGAAAATTCTTCACCACCGAACCAACAAACATGCTCTATTGAGTTACTTTTCCACTCATTTTTTTTTATCAATTTGTGTGGCATCAATAAGCGATAAGATGAGATAAAGTAGACTTACATGGGCAGTGCGGACTCAATACAGCACACGTTAGGAGGTGCGGGTTAATTCAAGTGGAAAGCTCAAAAAGGTAAAAGGTAGGCCCAAAAGGACATGATTGGAAATAATGGTAAAAGATATGCGGACTTATGGAGCCACCGAGGTGCTCAAGGGGCTGATTTTTGAAATAATAGCTTAGGGTTTTTGAGATTTAGGGTTTTAGAGTACTTTACTTATCTTCACCTTTAAAAGTCTTAAAATTTACTAGTCTTCTTTTTTCCACCCTCATCTTGTTTCCAAATTAGGCATTTGTTTATTTCCCTTTACCAAATAGAACATAACAGAAACAAAAAAGAAAATGAAAAAGATGAATGGAAGTGAAAAATTTATAGGAGCACACAACATGCTCACCTTTTCTCGCAGTCCAGCAGATTTGCCACTTTTTCTTTCTTTGATCTCCATGGTCCATCCTGGAGGCAACCATTCTGGAGGTTGTTCTTTAGCATCTGGCGTAGTAGCCATAACATTCCCTGAGGATTTTGGTGACAAAGTTTTGGGCTTCTTTTGTTTAGTAGCGGATGGTTTTTTGGTCTTGACATAACGAAGAATCGCCACCCGAGACCGAAAGCTACATCCAGTTGCCGGATCAATATAATACTGCATCAAGTTTAGAAGACCATGTGGACAGTTAAAATGAAAAGATTACATCCACATTTTGATTATTAAAAAAATTTCTTTTAACACTTCTGTTCAAATTTAATATGTTCTTGAAGAAACTTGACTTCAATCAATTTTTGACAGCTCACCTTTAAAACTAAATTTTTCTGCAAATTTTGATTCAGATGTTCAGCTTCTCAAATACTTAAAAAGAAATGAATAATGAAACTTCAGCTAACTCAGGATTTCAAAATTTTGGGATAAGTTTAACCAATGTCCTTGATATGCTAGACCTAAAAAGTAGCACTGGCGGACAGTAGCAGAAGGAATTGCCACACCATTAAAAAGAAATTTCTTATTGAACCAGTCGACTTGGATGGTTCAAACAATTCAAACATCAAGGACCAGGATTGTTTGTTGGAAACAACATTTTTTCTCCATTTACTGGACCAATACGGCAGAAACAAAATGAAACTAAAATCACCATTAAATAAACACTAGAAATATGCTTTCATATTTTTCTGTACATTCCTTTTAAGATTTTAATGTGAAAATAATTAGGCTACGGTTTTGGAAATTTAAAGTTTTGATGGACAAGAAAATAACCTTTATTTTCAGCTTTGCAATTTTTAAATTTTTATTCATCTTTTTTGCAATTTTTTACTCCCCTACTTTGTGCTCATTCCTTTAAACAGAAAGAAAATAAATAAATAAACTAAAAAAAAAATGCTTGAATAGAAGTTTAGCACAGGCACAACTGCAAAAAAAGCCTATATAAAATTGAATAGCAACTGAGCTACAATTATGAAAAAGATGAATGAGGTTGAAACTTCATGAGCTCGCACAATTATGTGCGCACCTTTTCTCGCATTCCTGCAGTTTTGCCGCTTTTTCTAACTTTGATCTGCATAGTCCATCCTGGTGGTAACCATTCTGGCCGCAGCTCCTCAGCACCCGACGTAACCACCGTGGCATTCCCTGAGGAATTAGTTGGACAAATTTCAGGCAAAGGATCCTTCTTTTCTTTAGTCTTGATCACCTAAACACCCACATAAAAAGATCAATTAAAATACAAAAGCAAACACTTTTTCATAATTGGCTGAAATATTTATCTTATGCAATTTTTAAATTTGTGAAACTTTGAATGGAACGAATGCAATAAGTCTCTCTCTCTCTCTCTCTCTCTCTCTCTCTCTCTCTCAACAATAATTAATGGAGAGAGGAAGTAGTTGCAGGCATACAGTTGACTCCTTCCTTTTTTGGAATGGTGAATTAGACTCTTCCGCTATAAAATCAATTTTTGAGGCACCGTGCTCCTGGGATTTAAGCCTCTCAAGGGAAGCATTCCCGTTCTCGAGGTAGCGTACAACTGCCAACCTTGAAGCAAATCTCTGTCCGGTAGCCAGTTCGATATAGAACTGCACAAAATTCAGAAGACCCAACCCATAGTTTAAACATTCCACATTTGTGCTGAATCCCAAGGGGCTTAAATTTGGAGATCATTATGTTGGGCACTACAGATCAAACTTCTACAAAGACCAGAACGAATAAGGAATTTAACTACTGATACTTCCTTAAAACTTGCCTTTGCTCTGAATGTTACTGACTCTGTTTTTCCCCATGCAACTCATCTTTTGGGATTCATATGTCTGTTTGGGCCCAAAACCTATCCAAGCCTCTTTTTATTTTTCCTTTTTTTATCTGTTTTTGGGGGGACACTAAAAACTATCCAAGCATTACAAAGAACATTGCTTACTGAACCATTGGAGCTGGATGTTCAGCCCATGAACCATCCAGGCCCAGACTTATTTATTGGGAGCAAGAATTCTTTCTTCATTTACTTGACAAATATGGCTGAAACTAAAATGTCGTAGAAAATTTAATAAGAACTTAAAAACTCTAATTTGATATTTCTGTACTTTCATTTGAAACTTTAACTATAAAAATTTAGGGTTTTGGTTTTGGAAACTTGAAGTTTTGAAGGACCACAGCCCTTATATACACCTTTTATAGTTTTACAATGCTAAAAGATTTCATATTCCCGAGGGAGTATACTGTGAGTTTACTTCGCCGGGTAAAAGCCATACTAAGAGTTCTTTTATGAACCAAATTATGTGATGTAACATCTTCAACCCATCAACTAAACTCAATAAAAGAAATTTCCATACTGGGCTCTCTATGCACTTGAAAAAATAATGTCTCAGAATTGAGCAAACTGTCAATTTTTGGAGGGTGAGATCTAAGTGTTAGAAAACTCAAAATTCAAAAAAAAATTATTTTCAAGATAATCATCTAGTGATGATTAGATGTTCCCCAAAATTTCAGATTGAAAAAAGTCCTCCTAAGCAAGTCTTCTACCCAAGGGGGTAGATCTACAGTATGCTCCTGCAGGAGTATAGTACGCGTCCTCTTTTATAATTTTATTCATTTTTCCCCATTTTCTTTCTCCCATGCTTTGTAAATGTTTTGTTCCTTTCAACATGAGTATAGAAAAAGATGAATGAAATTGAAATGACCAGAACCAAAACCATGAAAACGACTAGATGACAAGCAATATTACGTGAGCCACAAGCATGAAAAAGATGAATAAGATCAAAATTGTATGGAAGCACACAATTATGTGTACCTTTTCTCGCCGTCCTGCCGTTTTGCCTGCTTTCCTAACTGTTACCACCATAGTCCATCCTGGTGGCAACCACTCTGGCGTCAACTCCCCGGCACATACTGTACTGACCCCAACGTTCCCAGAGGATTTCGATGGAGAAAATTCAGGCAAGGATCCCTTCTTTTGTGTGGTCTTCATTACCTAAAAGCCCAAATAAAAAATTGATCAAACAGGAAGTGTTTTCCTATTGGCTGAAATTTGTTTCATGAGCTTAACAGCATAATGCATCCTTGAAAGCTTTCGACAAAGTCATAAACAAATAGCAAAATTAAACATAACCGGGTATGATTAACTAACAAATCGAATGGAACAAAACATAATATACTATCTTGATCAAAATGAGACAAGGAAATCTCTCTCTCTCTCACACACACATACACACCACGCCCATGCAAGCACACATGCACACACACACACGCATGCACACACAACCATAGCTAACGAGGAGAGAAAGTAGATGCAGGCTTACAGTGGACTCCTTTAGATTTTCAATTAGTGCATCAGACTCTTCCATGTTCAAATCAATATTTGGCACACCAAGCTCCTTCGATTTAAGCCCGCTAGGGGAAGCATTGCCATTTGTAAGGTAGCGTAGAACTGCCAACCTTGAACCAAATCTCTGCCCGGTTGCCAGTTCGATATAGAACTGCACAAAGTTCAGAAGACCCAATCCATAGTTCAAACATTCCATATTTGTGCTGAGCCTCAGATCATTATGTTAGGCAGCACAAATCATGCTTCTACAAAGATCAGCATAAAAAAGGAAGTTAACTAGTGATGTTTCTTCATAACGTGCATTTGATTTGGAACTTTGGATGTTGTTGACAATGCTCATTTTCAAACCACTCACTTAAAATACATAGTTCTGTATGACACTAGAACCTATCCAAGCATTAAAAAGAACTTTCCTTGCTCAACCATCAGAGCTGGATGGTTCAACAATCATACCAACCATGACCAGGCTTATTTATTGGGAACAACAATTCTTTCTTCACTTACACGACCAATATGGCAGAAACAAATTGAAATTAAAATGTTGCAGAAAATTAAATAAAAGCTAAAAAGCCCTAGTTTGATATTTTTCTGGACTAAAACATTTATGGTTTTGGGTTTTGGAAATTTAGGGTTTTGAAGGGCCACAAATCTTATTTTCACCTTTTAAAGATTCAAAATTTGTATGCCTTTTTTCCCAATTTCTTGCTGCCCTAATCTGTATCCATTTTGTTCCTTTGAACAAAAATAATATACAAAAAGATGAACAAAATCGGAACTAAACAGAGCCACAACCATGAAAGAGACTTAATGAAACTAAATATTAAGTAAGCTACAAGTATGAAAAAGATGAATGGGATCAAAAATTTATGGAAGCACACAATTATGTGACCTTTTCTCGCCTTCCTGCCGTTTTACCACTTTTTCTGACTGAGATCTCTGTAGCCCATCCTGGTGGCAACCATTCTGGTATCAGCTCCTTGGTACATGTACTGACCATGACATTCCCGGAGGATTTGCATGGAGAAATTTCAGGCAAGGGTCCCTTCCTTTCTGTAAGCATCATTACCTGAAACTCCACATAAGAGATTGATTAAAATAGATAGCAAGCGCTATTCTTGTAATTGGCTGAACTTTGTGTTTCCATGTGTAAATTTTAAATTTCATGAGATTTAACAGCATAATGCGGCCTTACAAGCCTCCTGACAAAGTCATAAACAAATAATGGCTAATAACAAATCACATGATAAACATAATACC